GCCAAAGAACTTTTCTGAAGATATGATTGATCATCGCAGTTATCCACACAACTTAAGCAGTTGTGAAATTAAAGCCTGAAAAATATTCAGGCCTGAACGGGATTCGAACCCATGATTTCTGCGATACCGGTGCAGTGCTTTACCAACTGAGCTATCAAACCAACTGGGAGCTGGTCACATTGTCAGTTCGTAATATACCCGTAGATGATGAAGATGGCCGTTCAGGCCTGAATTTTTTTTCAGGCTTTAATTTCACAACTGCTTAACTTGTGTGAATTACTGCGATGATCAATCATGTCTTCATATCTTTCTCCGCAGTTCAAATTATGATATTTCATATATTCACTTGTATTCTTCATCATCTACGGGTATATTATTACGCACTCACAATGTGACCAGTTCCCAGTTGGCTTGATAGCTCAGTTGGTAGAGCACTGTACCGGTATCGCATAGGTCATGGGTTCGGATCCCGTTCATGCCTGAATTTTTTTCAGGCTTTAGTTTCATAACTGCTTAAGTTGTGTGACTGCAATGATCAATCATATCTTCATATCTTTCTCCGCAGTTCAAATATATGGTCTTTCATATATTCACTTGTAAAAAACTTTTCACTTCATAGGCACTTTAAATTATTTCGATTTCAAACTCAAAATATGCTAGCCCGACAAAAGTATTTTCTCGTGCCCTGAATTATCACCAGTGTTACGTAGGTTTACGAAGAAAAGCCATTACGATCTGTCTTTACAACCGAATAACGCGAGTCCGTGTTTGTAACTTGTGTCCCGTCAATCGATATGATCAGTCCATTGGACCTGTGTACAACCGACCGTTTTTTCAACCTCCATTGAACTGGCTGACCAGTGAGAGTTTTAATTTTTTTTAATCACACACAGAAACAGAAATATACTTTCGACTGTCGATTTACGAAAGAGAAACTACACATCAACTACCACACTATTGATTTAGGAACGCAAGCGACTGCGAAAGCTTTATGCACTGGTCAGCGGATTCATTAAAAAGTTAACACGAATCGATGGAAGGAAGGAAGGAGCGAGTGAAGGAGTAAAAGTCAATGTCCTACCTACACTCAGAAAATGACATTTTCTGAGTAAAAAGAGTAATTAAGTTGTTGGACTTGTCCTAGAATTTGATGATGTGGGGGTAACAATCAAGTAAATTCCCAGGGGTAACTCAGCCCCAGGGTAACTCCCATATAAATCTAGGACAGGGTGCCCGTCTACCTTTGGGGTTGAAAACGGTTATGGTACCTCTTAGGGTGTTCAGCCTCAAAAGGTCCACATCAAGAGCTCTTGTGGTACCTTTTAGGGTATTGAGCCGAAAAAATACAACACGAGATAATTTGTTGTTTTAGAATTGGTACCTCTTAGGGGTAAAAAAACTTCAAGCCACGCCCACAAAAAAACAGTACCTTGGTACCTCTTAGGGGGTCTTTTCAATATTTCCAATGAGCACCCCCCGTCCTTTTTATTTGGGAGTCCCCCTCTCGGAGAATCTGAGCCAGGTTACGGTTTGGGTTGATAAATGCATAAGAGCACATGTTTACCTGGGTCCTAAATTGCAATAAAATTGTCAATATCTTGAATAATGGTACATGGTGTTTATCCTCTCCTTGCCTTGTCCTGATTTGTCTCCAACTGAAAAATAGAAGGAACAGCAAGATTTAGATCAAATGATTAAT